TGTGCTGTCCGCTCGGCCGACCGGCTCCCTTAAGATATATTTGGGTAAGATATACAGTATTTGGTTAGAGTAAGATATTTTTGGTTAGGTTAAGATATTTTTGGTTAGGGTAAGATGTATTTGGTTAGGGTAAGATGTATTTGGTTAGGGTAAAATGTATTTGGTTAGGGTAAGATGTATTTGGTTAGGGTAAGATTTATTTGGTTAGGGTAAGGTATATTTGGTTAGGGTAAGATATATTTGGTTAAGGTAAGATATTTTTGATTAGGATAATAGGATGAGTTAGGTCATTTCAGATTATTTTAGGATAGATAAGAGTGGTTGGTTGGCCACAGCTCTCAGTCTTGTCGCCAAGTCGTTTAACAGCCAGGTACCCAATCACTGCTGGGTGCACAGATGCGTACAGTTAATGATTGGCTCCTTCCCGGTCAGGATGCAAACCCAGGCAAAGCACTCGAAAAGTGCCGGACGAGTGCTTTACCACTGTTCCACAGGTTCATTGTTGAGAGACAGGTAGCCAGAGTGTATTAGGCTATGTTAGGCTTATATTCAGGCGTTCCCCCCGAGGTCAAATTATTGATCCCCCAGAATGCAACCCCACAACAAGCTGACTAACTCCTGGGTTATCTTAAGATGATTTCTGGGGTTTAGTGTTCCCGCGGCCCGGTCCTCGACCAGGCCTCCACCCCCCAGGAAGCAGCCCGTGACAGCTGACAGGTAAATATTTACTGCTGGGTAACAGGGGCATAGGGTGAAAGAAACTCTGCCCATTGTTTCCCACCGGCACCCGGGATCCAACCCGGGACCACAGGATCACAAGTCCAGTGTGCTGTCCGCTCGGCCGACCGGCTCCCCCACTGTTCCACTACCGGGTACTGTTCCTATTTTTCTGCTAGGTGAACAAGGAGCATTAGGTGATAGGAAATGTGCATAAACATTTCTGTTCTGCCCAGGATTTGAACCCAGAATTCCAGAGTTTGAGTCGAGAATGAACCCAGCTACAATGTGGGATAATATTAAGATGAAGTTAGGTATTGTATCTGCAGGTCCAATGAGTTCTGGCAGCTTCTTCTAGTTGTCGTCTCATGTCGGACTTGTTGGTTCTCCGGAAAAGGGGGAAGGGAACGTGGAGGCTCACGCTGTTTGCTCACTCCTGGCCCTTCACTATTTGTGGGTGTTTCGGGTCGTTTCTTGCTGCCTGTGGTGGCGTTGGGTTGCCTCTTCCCCTTTGGAGGGTTCGAGGCTGGCAGGGCAAGCCTCCTCTCCTGCACTCTGTCAGGTCATCTTGGAGTGGGTTCACTTGGGCTTGGTCGAAACGTCCTCATTACTTAGGGGGGTTGGTTTCCTGCATGTTTCGAGTTCGGCATGGTCGAGGTGTCTCCCGAGTTATATGCGCCTTTCCCCGACTGCGAGGCCATCAGGGTTGATGCCTTCAGGCAGGACTGGTCGAGGTGGGGATTTAGCTCTTTCCCCTGTTTTTTTTTTTTTTTTTTTTTTTTTTTTTTTTTTTTTTTTTTTTTTTTTTTTTTTTTTTTTTTTTTTTTTTTTGAGATATATACAAGAGTTATTACATTCTTGTACAGCCACTAGTACGCGTAGCTGGTCCTTAATCTATGGCTGTGCCGCGAAGAATCGTTTTTTCATCCTACCATTTTACTGTTGGTTAAACAGAGGCTGCGCCCAGCTCCCCGGCCAGGATGAACCCATGACATAGCGCTCGCGGAACGCCAGGCGAGTGTCTTACCACTACACCACGGAGACTGCATATTAGACTGCGGAGGTTCTGCTGTTGCTCCAGGTCCTGGCTTGTTTGGAGACTTACCAAGGGAGAGTATTATATTATATTAAGAACTTATTATTATATTAAGATTATTATATTAAGAAATTATTATATTAAGTAATATATTATATTACTCTCCAAAATAAGATATTATGTTCCTAACTCTGCTCTCCTCTCACTATATTATGCACTAATCTACCCCTATCTTAATTATGGTATCTGTGCATGGGGGTCTACCACTGCAAACCACCTTAAGCCCATCATCACCCAGCAAAAATCTGCTATCAGATTAATAACAAACTCTGCTTTCAGACAACACTCGGCTCCCTTGTTTAAATCCCTTAACTTACTAAATATTAACTCCCTCCACACATTATCTTGTGTCAACTACATTTACAAAACCCTGTTCTTAAATGCAAACCATGCTCTGAAACTCTCCCTGGACAGATGTAATAGGACCCATTATCACCACACCAGAAATAAATATATCTTTAATATCCCCAGGGTCAAACTCAATCTGTGTAAACACTCTATGCAAATTAAGGGACCCTGTCTATGGAACTCACTCCCTAGTGAATTGAAAAGCTGTCAAACTTTTGCCTCATTTAAAAACCAAACTAAAAAGTACCTAATTTCATCTTCGTAGTTTCCTACACAGAGCTTTAAATTTGCTCTGTATCTAGTGTTATCCAATCTCCCAATCTTTATGTACTTAATCCAAACAAATTTATAATTGTGTTCATTGCTGTCTTCTTTTATGTGCTATCCATATGCTGTATTGTGCCTGCTAAGTTTTGTTAAACTACCATTCAAGCTGTCATTGCAATCATTCTGAGCTACCTATGTGCTTTCATATACCTACAATTTCTGTCTCATCTTTTATTTTTTCATGCCATGTAACTGTTATCATTTTTATAAATTTTGCAAGTATTTACCTACAGTACTTATAAGTTTCTTAGATTTAGGACCTGCCCGAAACGCTGCGCGTACTAGTGGCTTTACAAGATTGTAATTACTATTCTATGTATCCTCACAATCCTAATGTACCTTCTTGTTTATATATAAATAAATAAATAAATAAATAAAGAGTAATCCTGTTGGCCCCATGGTGGCTGGCCCAGCATTGGTTTCAGGCGCTGCTTGCTCGGTATCTAAACCCGAGGGTCTTCCTGCTGCTCCGCCTCTTTCAGCAGATTGGGCTTGTCCGTTACATAGCTGGTTCGATCTTCTCAAGTCTTCGCATCTTGTCTTTCTGACGTGGGTCTATCACTATTTGTATGGTGAGCAGGTGGCTTTGTTGATGATGTCCCACCTGCATGCTTCATCTTGGCAGCAGTATGAAGTTTCCGGGCAGTGCTTTCGTTATTTCTTGTCCTTCCGTAGGTTTTTTTTTAGTTTGGAATCCAGGTATCTTCTCCTTTTTTTGGTTGTTTCAGGACAGTCATCTTATGCCAAATACTGTATTATCGCCTCGTATCATGAGGCGCTGGCGGAGCTGCTTCAGCGTGCATTCATGGTGGATGTTACTTCTGCTTCACTCTGCAAGCTGTCTGGTGCATTGCTTCACCTCCGCTCTGCTCATGCGCCGACTGAGCCATCCTGATCATTGGATCTGGTGCTCTCTTTTCTTTCTTCTCCTTGGTTTGTGGTGGCCCTTTTGGTTCAAGATTATTTTTCGAAGGCACTTTTCTTGTTGGCATTGGCTTCTGGGGGTCGGGTTGGGGAGCTTCATGCTCTCCTCTGGTGCAGAGGTTTCTGTTCTTTTGGTCTTAGTAGTAGATTTGTTGGTTTGCACCCGTCCCGTTCTTTTCTGCCGAAGAATGAGACTGCTGCTTTCTGGAGGGGTTCTTGGGTTGTTGATGCTTGGTTGGTTCGGCCGGGGGTGCATCATGTGTTGTGTCCGGTTGCGGCTCTTCACTGTTACCTGCACACCACGGCCTCCGTGGCCGGGGACGCTCTTTGGGTTGACTCGGTTTCCCTCCTTCCCTATTCCAGGGTTCGGGTTTCCCAGGTTGTCTGCAGGGTTATTTGGTCCAGCCAGCCTGCGGTCTATCCTCGTGCCTATGATGTTTGTAAGTTTGCTGCATTGGCTGCCATCTTTGGTAATGTCTTGGGCTGACATTCGGGCACGGGGTTTTTGTAGGTCGAAGAGGAGTCTTGGCCACTCGTTACCTAGTTAATGTTCTTGGCCCTAGTTGGGCATGTGTCGCATTGGGTCAATGGATGCAGCCAGTTGTCTCGACTTTGAGTTGAGGAGAGAGTGGCGACTGCCTCCTGGGTAAGTCCCTTTTGTTTCATCTTTGGTTAAGTAACTCTGGGAAACCAAAGGGGCTCCCACCAGAAAACCAGTGTTGAATGCAATGAAACGCCATTTTCTGGGTGAGACCCGAAGGATCCCTGGCACCCCTCCCTCCCGGTGGAGGGAGGGGTGCCAGTTGACCAACCAGTTGACGGTTTTAGCAGTTTTGACATCCAGCCTCTGAACTGGTGGTGGATAGCTAGCGTGGGGGTCTGAGCTTCCCCTTCCCCCTTCCCGGGGAGGTGTGAACTGTGCAGACTGTGGCGCGGTGACGGTTGTGACATCATGCTCGATTTTAGTTTGGGGAGTTCTGTCCAACAGTTCAGCTTTCAGTAGCAAATTTTTAACCAGATAGGGTTTTGGGGTGCCTATCTTTCTGGGTGCCTGACCCAGTTGATGGCAGACATAGAATGCTTCCAACAACACGGGGGTTTCTCTAGGCCATTGCTCCTTGTGCCTCTCTGAGGGGAGCAGGTTCTGGCTCATGGTCCCCGGTGGGCCTAGAACTCTATTCGCTTGACTGATGCCGCGGTCTAATACATTCATATCATCCCGGATAGCTCCAGGGAGCCTCCGGGTCTCACCCAGAAAATGGCTTTTCATTACATTCAACACTGGGATTTTTTGTGTAATTAAGATCATTTCCTACCAGAGGTGTTTAGACTACATTTATTTACAGTATATTAACTTTATTGTGGTTAATAACATTACCCTTAAAATGCAACATTTCTTACAAGTAGCATATAGTTTGAAAATGATTCCCATTAAATTAAGTCTTTAATGTTTCCCATTAATTTATATTTGAAAAAAAATCATTGAGCTAAGTAGACTGTAGGTTGCAGTTTATGTAATGCTAAAGTGAAAAGGTATCTCATAACACTTTTTATCATTTATTAACTATCTGCACAATCTACTTTGCAGAGTTGGGGAGCATTTGTGAACAATGTAACAAGTGAGGCGGTTGACTTTCTGGAGGAGGCTGAGGATGCGAGCGACTTGATGCTGGGAGGCGGTGCCCGGGAGGGTCACTTCTCCGGTGCTTCACGTGTTGTCTTGCCCATTACACTCAACCTTAGAGGCTACACATCTCTTAGCTTTCGAACATGTCGGCATGGCACTCTTCTCTCTCAGGTGGGTACATGTATTCATTTTGTAAAGTACATTTATCAAGACCATTTTTATTAATGTACAGTATATCATATTAGCCTTTTACAATAAGTGAGACTAAGGTAAGACACTGCTAGTCTTTGGGAGAAAATACCATGCTGTCAGGCATGGTGACATTTGAATTACCTCCGATATACAGTACAAGGAGGCACTGAACTACTGGCCAGTGTTCCTAAGTTGTTGGAGAAGATTGTGCATAAAAAGCTAGTAGAACATCTGGAGTGAAAGAATTTTGTAACACAACATCAGCATGGGTTCAGGGATGGCAAATCATGCCTCGTGTGATAATTGAATTCGCAAATAATTCTGTATTGCGGTGTATTGCTTTGGAAACCACATTCATAAAGGGTTCACTTTAGCATAAGTGTACTATACTGTACAAAGAAACTGTTTATAAGGATGAATAATTAGTCCTAAATTGAAATTAATCTGACTGGAAAAATGTTGTGTTTAGTAATACAAGGTTCTATCTTGGGGCCAACTCCTTATTTGTAATATGTATCAACATTAATTAGAATATTACAAACCATATTAGATTTGTAAATGACACCTAGATTTAGGGTACAGTAGGAAGCTAAGAAACTAAGGCCTTGCAAAGCAATCTACAAAAACTCCACCAATAATCAGAAGACTAGCAAATGGTTTTCACTACTGAAAATGTAATATATTGAATGTAGGGCAAAACAATGCACATCATAACTACCATATCAAAAGCACAATAGATTAGCAGATCTCATCGATGCCTTATAAATTCTGAACAAATCATATGATAATAATTCAGACAATGTCTTTAAAAGGTCCCGTGTAACTCACACAGGATAGCAACAGTTTGAAATTCAACAAGCTAATGGAGGAAAGAAAACCTGAAATTCTTCATCATTCATAAGGTATTATCTCATATACCCTCTGAAGCTTACTTTAGAATTCAACTGGGAAAGTGTCCTCAAGAATAATAATAGAGGGATCTTTGACAACCCACTAGTTTCCTATCCCTGTTAAGACCACTAGAGAGTGTAGCCCCCAGGTAAATTCAGGCAAGTCACTCAAGTGAATTGTGGTTTCTGTGTGCCTCAACTGGTGCTGGGGTAGTACTCACCTGGTGACCTGGTAGTGACCTGGTAAGTCAGCTGACAGGTAGTAAGATTACTATTTGGTAGCTCTGGCTTACATAGGGTTTTGAAGGCCTGAATTTAGTATTTGTCCAGTACTGTTTCATACTAACGCATGTATGATCCAGAAGGGACAGTTTGTAAATATCATTGCTTCTGTAATGGTGTTTGCAATCACAGCAGTGTCTATCTCCCCTGATTGTCTGTGAATCTTTGCAATGGAACCAGAAAGGATTTAGTCCTGTACCCAATGTGTAAAAAACAAAAAAACAAACAAAAAAAACAAGAGAGTGTATTTAGGAGAAACTGTCTAATTGTGCCTAGCTCAGAAACAATGACGTTGCTATAGACTACACTTTAACCTGTTTTGCAATTCCTGTACTTGCTACCAAAGGCTGTACTGTTTATGGGGTAGTACTGTGTGATATGCAAATACGTGACTGCACTTAGCACATAAGAAGCACATCAACATAAGCAGAAGCATAAGAATAAGAAGCACATCAACAAACTGGAAAAGGTGCAAAGACATGCCACTAAGTAGCTCCCAGAACTGAAGGACAAGAGCTACGAGGAGAGGTTAGAGGCATTAAATATGCAAAAACTAGAAGCTAGAAGAAAAAGAGGCGATATGATCACTACGTACAAAATAGTAACAGGAATCGATAAAATTGAAAGGGAAGAATTCCTGAGACCTGGAACTTCAAGAACAAGAGGTCATAGATTTAAACTAACTAAACAAAGATGCCGAAGAAATATAAGAAAATTCACTATCGCAAACAGAGTGGTAGACGGTTGGAAATAGTTAGGTGTGAGGGTGGTGGAGGCCAAGACCACCAGTAATTTCAAAGCGTTATATGACAAAGAGTGCTGGGAAGACGGGACACCACGAGCGTAGCTCTCATCCCGTAACTACACTTAGGTAATTACACTTAGGCAATTACTTGTAAATGACTGTGGTATAGTAATAGGCAGTGCAGAGTAGAGCTGTACAGGCAGTATATGAAACGACTACTGTACATTTTAGTTTTCTTACCTTTGAAACTGGACAAAATACAAACTGACAGGCTTACAGTATAATGGCCTTACAGTATACTGTAAGGCCATTAGGGGGGCCTGATGGCAGAGTGGACAGTGCTCAGTGTTTGTAGTCCTAAGGGTCCGGGTTCGATCCCCGATGCCATGTTATGGTCGTCATATTATTATTGGTAAGTTAATACTAAAGACATGATGGATCATAATTTCAGTTATTAATGCACCCCATACCCATCCTGTAGGCAGTAGTGGAGTGCTGAAAGACAACTTTTGTGTAATATGACACATTTATATATTAAAGACAAATAATCACCAAAATATATTATGTACTTCTTTCCTTCAGGAGGGCTCAGGGGGTGACACACTGGTACTTGGTGTGACAGAAGACGGTGCTCTAGTACTCTCCCTCACGCACCACGGACAGTCATACACCACATCGCTGGGAAGACATCTCAACAACAATGTCTGGCACAGAGTCTACCTCAAGTAAGATACATGACTGGCATTATCAGTCTTAAGTAATATAGTGTAATATTTTAGATTCAATGCTGTAATTTAGTCTTGTAATATTGATTAAAAAATAAAGTAGGGCATTAAGTGGAATACACAAAGAAATTACAGTAACATGATATATCAATAAGAAAATCCACAATTTGTGGATTTTCTCATTGATACATCACGTTACTGTGATTTCTGTGTCAGAGATAGAATAGAGGGTCATCAGAGATAGCATTCCTGAACGACAGAAGCCAGAGTGCCTGGGGGGAATTGTGTGAAACCCAGGTTCAGTTTCAGTGAAAACCTCTGGAATTGTTGTGGGTTCAGCAAAACCCCAGGTTGTAATTCTTTTACCATGTCGTGGCTTTTGTCTAGAGTGTGTGTCTGGGAATACCAGGCACATTGGTTTGAATCTTCATCATGGCTCCTGTGGATTTTATCATTAGGTGGAATGACATGCCTCTTTCTGAGTGACACTTTGGTTACTCTCCCGAGCCATATCTTTCAGTTAACTTTCAATAATTCCGAGGATCAGTGTCCTGCAGCTCGGTCTGTGACCAGGCCTCCTGGTTGGTGGTCTGGAGGTCTCTTGGCATACCTATTTATTTATTTTATTTATTTATTTATATACAAGAAGGTACATTGGGAGTTAACAGAGAACAAAGAAATTAAGTTGATTTTACATTCTTGTAAAGCCACTAGCACGCATAGCGTTTTGGGCAAGTCCTTAAACTAACAGTTAATTTTTAGACAATTAACAGTAAAATTGACAAAAAATGTTTACAGGTACATTACAACTTTACTTTACAGGTACAGATAATTTTAAGTAAAATAATTACAGTAAAATTTACAAAAAAATTTTACAGGTACATTACAAGAAATTTTGACACAAAAGCAGATTAGATTAATACACAATAATAACAATACACAATAATGAACACTCCCTGGCTGTTGATCCCCGGAAGCTACACAAGGGAGACGGCTTAGAGGCTGTCTACCGAGGGAAAGGGGTACAGGTAACCCCACCTCATCTAGTCATGCCTGAAGGTGTCGATCCCGACAGCCTCGCAGTCGGGTAAAGGCGCCACGTATACCAGGAGACGCCTTGACCATGCCCATGCAAAGAGATCTACTTCCCGAGGCCCGAATGTCTGGTAGAGCCAATTGAACGAGTTGGCGTCGACCGTCCATTCCGTGGATAGGGGAATGAACTGGGACAGGCTGTCCGCCAGGACATTGGACACCCCAGAACATGAACCGTCAGGAGAGCCAAACCCCGAGAACTTGGCAGACGAGTCACCCGAAGCGACCAGCCCCAAAGAGCCAAGGACCGCATTGAACCCCCTCGGTTCAGGCAATGAGCGTGGTGAGCACTAGTCACAAAGCCCCAGCCAAAAGACAACACGTCTGGGAACACATCGAGTGAGGGTTCAGGTAGGCGCCAAGGCACTGAATCCCGCAAAAACCAGAAGAGGAAGCTGGCGATGCAGCAACAGACGCAAATCCCCCAGAGGTCTAAACCAGTGATCGCGAGAGAAGTGGAAATGACGTCCTCAAAGGAACCAGAACAGCCGACGAAGCCACACCTGACCCAGTGGGTAGACCATCATGGCAAAGTTCAGGCTCCCACACAAACCCTCGAGCAATCGCCACATGGCCCGGGAGCTCCTCAGGAACAAATGAAGGCGAGAACGCAGGGAAAGCAGAGCCGCCGGAGGAAGAGACAAGGAAGCAGTCCGAGCGTCCCACACAAGACCCAGCCAAGACCGAAGCCAAGAGGGAACCAAATGTGATTTCCACCAGTTCACCAGGAACCTGAGCCCAGCAAGCTGGGAAAGAACCAAATCCCAGGCGAGCCCACGAGCAGACTGGTTGGGAGCCCAAAACCACTCAGTCGTCGAGGCAGGCCAGAACCCAAACTCCTAACAGATGCAGGCGGGCCACTACGATCCGAGTAAGGCATGTGAGAACACGAATGGAAGGCAACAAAAGCGGTAACCTTGATTCCCCACAACAAAACCGAGCCAGTCCTTGAGCCTCGGATGAATCGGGACGTGCCAATATGCGTCCTTGAGGTCCTGGGACACCATCCAAGCACACAGCTCCAACAGAAGACGGACCTGGGACAGAGTAGTCATTCAAAAGGAGGGGCAATAAACCCAGGGGTTCAGACGGGACAAGTCCAGAATGAACCCGAGGTCCACGCAGTCCCGTTTCGGGACCGAAAACAGGCGGGAAACCCACCTGAAAGATGTGGTTGTTTCGACCACGCCCAAGCAAACCCACTCAGAGATGAGTCGACAGAGCGCAGGAGAAGAGGCCTGCCCTGCCAGCCCCGAACTGGAGGAGGAGCCACCCAACGCCACCACAGGCTGCATTAAACGACCCGAAAGGCCCACGAATCATGGGACCAGGAGCGAGAAAACAGAGCGAGCCTCCCCCCCCCCCCTCCATCACCCCGTCAATGGGACGAACCGCGAAAGGGCCGACGCACTTTACTTGAAACTAAGCGGCGCACAAGGCAATCCTTGCGCCCATCAGAAAAAGACGGAACCGAAGGCTGCATCTGCCCCGAATCTGGCACCACTGGCCTACCACAACGAGAAGAACCCTGGGCCTTTGCAGGACCCTTCTGGGAAGGCCTCACCATGGGCCCCCGGAGGATTAACTAGTCCGACATAGGAGGGCAACTAGCTGAAGTTGCCTGCAGATACTGCACAACCGCAGACTCTGCAAACATCAATGGACAAAAAGGCAAAGACTACTTAAGAGCCAGGGCCCAAGCGGATTCCAAGGAAGAAGCGAGCACCACCTGCCGACACGTGAGTTGAGAAGCAATAAACAGTGAAACCGCATCCCTCAGGAGCGGCGCGAACAGCTTCAATAGTGCAAACGACGTGTAAGCAATGTGTACGCAAATCCTCCTTGACCAAGGTAGCCGAAAGGGAAGGAACCTGCACATGAAACTTCATCACACCAACATCCAGCGGAAGGCCAGAGGTGAACAAAAATGCATACAGATGCTCAAATTTGCCCCCCAGGAAAACCTGCAACGCCGTCTGAACCTCCCTCTACTCAAGTACGCAGGACCGACAGAACATGTGCGAAGCCTCCAATGAGAAGAGCGGGCAGTCTGCCAACCAGGACGACTCCGGAACTTCATAATGAATCTAGTACGAATACAAAGATCTATATACGAAGGAACATGGTTCCATCACAAAAGCATAATCTGGGCCGCGCAGGAGGTAAACCGCAAGGGCTTCCCGCACCATATGTGACAGGACGCGTGAAGCCGAAAACCTCCGGAAGGATGGGACCGAGGAATCCACGGGATCATGGAACCAAACTTAGGGTACGAATTCAATTCGTACGAGAAGGGAGTGAAGGAAAACCTCTCACCTTGTAGCACCAAGCCCCGCTCCGAGGGTACAAAAAACCCTTGGGTCCAACAGGGTCCAAGGCCCCCAAGTCAACCCCTCTCCTGCTCTGGGAGCCTCACCCCGAGGACCCGGGGCCGAGCCGTCCTCCAAACCCCTCGCCTCTAAAGAAAAGGCAGGAGCAGCTGAAAAAGCAGGAACGAAAGGGGGCCCACTGGTCAGATCCAGAAGCTCCAGCTGGAGTACTAAGCTCGAATGCCTCCGCTGCCACCCCTAAAGGGGACTTCCCTGAGACCGCCCGAGTCTCAACATCAACTAAACCCTGCCCTGACTCCGAAACCCTCAGACGTTTTGGAGCCAAAAGCAAAGGGGGAAGAACACTGGATGAACCACCGAAGGGGAAAGACAAGGAGGGGCGGACGAAGCCAAAGTCAAAGCGACTAACGCCCCCAAGTCCGGGTTCCTATTAGCAAAACGGGACAGTCTTAGGGCATCCGGGGAAAGCAACGAACCTATCGCGTTGCAGCAACCTAAACCGAGCTTGCAACGCCTCTGCTGCCTGCACCCTCATATCATGTTCCATAGCTTAGGTGAACTGGAGCATGTACAAAGAACAAAAGTCGCACAACTCCAGGTCAGAAGAATCACCGACCCGACAGGCAGCATGACAGAGGCACAATCAGTGATTGTCACCCTGAGACAAGGGGACAGAGCAACCACCAACCTCGCACGAAGCGAGAGGGGACTAAAGGGTTGTATCCATCGGACCACAAAGCCCCCGCAGGGTTTTTCAGGGCCTTTAGCCTTGGTATCATGCTAAGGGAAGCCCAGATTGGGTACTGCAAACCAGCACCCAAAACTACCGAGCAAACTTCTAAAAGTTGAACCCCCGGGACATGTCCATTCACAGGGGCCTAGCAGGGGGGTACCACCAAGAACACAGATATATCTATATAAAGACCCTCAAGTATAGATAGGGGCAGCCAACCAAAGGCAGGCCTCCCCCCCCCATCTCCACCAGGCAGGAAAACAGAAACAAAAGAAAAACCCTGCAAGAGGACAACGTACCCAGTTGGAACAGAGCCAGCCGCTATAATAGGTGATAACTAACTGTACAGTACACACAGAAATCACAATAGTATGATGTATCAAATGAACAAATCCACAAGGGCCGTGACGAGGGTTTGAACCTACATCCGAGAGGATCCGTCACGGCCCTTGTGGATTTGTTCATTAGCTGTGCAGTACCCGATGCCCCTACTAGTGACAAAAACTACCTCCTACCCAGAGGCAAACAAGGGCAACCAAAATCCCAGTCAACTCCAAGGGCGGCCAAGTACTGAGCAGTAAAAGACACAGCGAAGGTAAGCCCCAAGGTGACCCCAAGCCCCAAGGGCAGTACTTTCAGGGAACGGAAGGAAACCTTAGGCGCTTGCAGCCCGAGCACCATAGAATATTACTCCTGGCTCACACACCACCTGTAGAGACAGACCACGCCACAAGGCACAGTAACTGAAATCAAAACTGGAGCCAGAGGCACATGACCTGCCAGCATCACATCAGCCAAGAACTGCCAGTTGGATCGCTGATGCGAGGGTCTGGGACTCCCTCTTCCCACTCCCAGGGAGGGAGGTTGTGCAGACAGAAGGGCGGCAACATGATGACATCATGCTCATTTTCTAATTTTCGTTTGGAGAGTTCTGTCTATTCGTTTGGCTTTCAGTAGCAATATTTTCACCAGAATAGAGGTTTGTTTTGGGGCGCCTATCTTTCTGGGTGCCTGACCCGGTCGATGGCAGACAAAGAATGCTCCCAACCACACAGGGGTTTCTATAGGCGATTGCTCCTCGTGCCTCTCTAAGGGGGCCAGGTTCTGGCTCATGGTCCCCAGTAGTCAAGAACTCCTTATCAGCCTGGATAGCTCTGGGGAGCCGACGGGGCTCCCCCCAGAAAAACTAGTGTTTGAAAGGCTTACAGACAAGCCTTTAAGGCCTCCACTGATGTCTACTTCTTAAGAGGTTGAAGTTTTAAAAATGTTTTGTAAAGTATTCAGTACCTACTAGGAAAACATTTAATTTATTTATTTATTTATTTACAGTATTTATTTATTTATATACAAGAAAGTAAATTGGGGGTTAAGAGAGAACATAAAAATGAAGTTAATTTTACATTCTTGTAAAGCCACTAGCACACATAGCGTTTCAGGCATTAATTTAATACTAATCTCTAATATTAATATTATTAATTTAATATTAATTTTGGGCATATTTAATATTAAATATACATCTAATAATTTAATGTTTTATAATTATCTTTATAGTAAAATAATCAAACATTAACCACTGCACTGTGCAGTTTTTGGCTAAAACTTTTTAGTGCAATTGTTAAGGACATATTTCTGTTGTTTTTATAAATGTTCAGGTAAAGTTAATGTCAAAATGTTTCCAAACTCAATCATTTTCATTTCAAAACACAAAGAGTAATGAAAACATTAAAAAACATTAAAATATAGCCTAATTAAAAAAAAATCCACGACTCTCGAGCGCCTAATGGCACTTTGCGCAGTGCAGTGGTTAAAATCCTTTTAAGACTGTTAATAAAGTTATCTGATCAGAAGTGTAGAATGTTGTATTTAAAATATTTGTTTCAATAAAATGATTTATTTGTTCAGGTTTGAACTTGGTGTTTTTCGAATGGGAGTGGACCAATCAACTGTAATGGTAGCCAACACGACTAGCTCCAGTTCACCTCTTATTGACTTGGGTCTGTGGTCGCCCACCCCACAACTAACCATTGGACAGAACTTCACCGGGTGCATTCTTGAGGGTGCTGGCACTGTACTCACAAACCCTCTAGCCCTACACATGGGAGTGGCTTGGAATGTCTGTCCTCTTCCGGATGGTACCGACTGTAGTGAGTACATGATACAAGCATTTCTCTTATTGTTGTTGTTGCATTCTTGGCTAATTTGTTTGCTGTTGACTATCATGTCATTTAATACAACTGAATCTGGTATTATTGTATCCGAGTTCAATGAATAAATTGGTATTCTAGATTTCTCTTAATGTTTAATTAAATTAAGGTTTTTTTCTTCCTAATTTCTGTCAAGCATTTGTTTTCTATGGGATTATGCTTACAGTATATGCACTATAATGTGTTTAGTGATTGTTGGGAATCTTGTCTTGGCTTTACTTGCACTTGCTTGGTGATGGACTGTTCTCTGGTGGGTGTGGCGGTGACTGCTTCGTTTACCCTGGTTGTGACTGCCTGCACTTCTTCATCTCTTCTCCGTTCCTCCTCATACACCAGGTGGAGGTAGGCATGAGCTCCTCTAATACTAAACTATTTTCCTGTAGCTGTGATACCGTATTAGTAACTAATTATGCCTTAGAAAGCCTAACATTAATGAAGATTAGACCTAAGTCTGTACAGTGCTCTTTCAAAAATTTGGATCATATCATTTCAGACTGATTCAGATTTGCAAGAAATCTGGATTTCTGAAAGATTGCCCATTTTTTTTTGGTATTGGCCAATTTTCCTGATTTTACCTTTAGTAAATTATATAATTCTCAGAGATAAGAAGCCTGTACTTTGGCTTATCGAGGTCCCCCTTTGGGCAACTACTGACCTTTCTCAGGATGTAATGCACAACAGTTGTCTCACTCACTCGAAGGGGACGTTCCCTCCATGCTAGATTTGATATTTACCAGGAAGGAGGAAGAGATATTTGACATTCAGTACCTTCCTCCCTTGGGTAAAAGTGACCATGTCTTTTTGGGAATAAAGTATGCAATGCGTTATAAGCTGGAAGAAAATAAGGAGGTTGAAGCAGTTGAAAAACCAGACTTCAGAAGAGGACATTATGGTGACCTTAGAAATTTTTTTAGTGAGTATAATTGGACAGACTTGATGCTAGGCAAGGAAGTGAATGAGATGTATGGCAAGTTTTGTGAAATATATGATAAAGGCACAAAAAAATTTATACCAAAACAGAGATGCAGAACTAGGAAACAGGTTTGGTTCAATAGAAATTGCGAGAGGGCTAGAGACCGAAAGACACAAAAATGGAATCAATACAGGAAGAGGCCGAACCCCCAAACATACCAGCGATACAAAGATGCGAGAAACAACTACACGGCAGTGAGGAGAGAGGCAGAAAGAAATTTTGAAAAAGGGATTGCGGACAAATGTAAAACAGAACCAGGTCTATTCTATAAATTCATAAACAACAAATTGCAGGTAAAGGATAATATTCAGAGGTTGAAAATGGGAAATAGATTCACGGAAGATGAAAAGGAAATGTGTGAAACACTAAACGAAAAGTTCCAAAGTGTGTTTGTACAAAATGAAATCTTTAGGGAACCAGATACAATAAGAATTCCAGAGAACAGCATAGAGCACATAGAGGTGTCTAGAGACGAAGTGGAAAAAATGCTCAAGGAGCTCGGTAAGAACAAAGCAGCTGGCCCAGATGGCGTTTCACCATGGGTTCTGAGAGAATGTGCATCTGAGCTCAGCATTCCACTTCACCTGATCTTTCAGGCATCCCTGTGTACAGGAATCGTAGCAGTCGGGTGGAAACAGGCTAACATAGTTCCAATCTACAAAAGTGGCAGCAGGGAAGACCCCCTCAATTATAGACCTGTATCATTGACAAGTGTAATAGTGAAAGTATTGGAAAAACTAATCAAAACTAAATGGGTAGAACACCTAGAGAGAAATGATATAATATCAGACAGACAGTATGGTTTTCGATCTGGAAGATCCTGTGTATCGAATTTACTCAGTTTCTATGATCGAGCCACAGAGATATTACAGGAAAGAGATGGTTGGGTTGACTGCATCTATCTGGACCTAAAAAAGGCTTTCGACAGAGTTCCACATAAGAGGTTGTTCTGGAAACTGGAAAATATTGGAGGGGTGACAGGTAAGCTTCTATCATGGATGAAAAATTTTCTGACTGATAGAAAAATGAGGGCAGTAATCAGAGGCAATGTATCAGAATGGAGAAATGTCACAAGTGGAGTACCACAGGGTTCAGTTCTTGCACCAGTGATGTTTATTGTGTACATAAATGATCTACCAGTTGGTATACAGAATTATATGAACATGTTTGCTGATGATGCTAAGATAATAGGAAGGATAAGAAATTTAGATGACTGTCATGCCCTTCAAGAAGACCTGGACAAAATAAGTATATGGAGCACCACTTGGCAAATGGAATTTAATGTTAATAAATGTCATGTTATGGAATGTGGAATAGGAGAACATAGACCCTACACAACCTATATATTATGTGAGAAATCTTTAAAGAATTCTGATAAAGAAAGAGATCTAGGAGTGGTTCTAGATAGAAAACTATCACCTGAGGACCACATAAAGAATATTGTGCAAGGAGCCTATGCTATGCTTTCTAACTTCAGAATTGCATTTAAATACATGGATGGCGATATACTAAAGAAATTGTTCATGACTTTTGTTAGGCCAAAGCTAGAATATGCAGCTGTTGTGTGGTGCCCATATCTTAAGAAGCACATCAACAAACTGGAAAAGGTGCAAAGACATGCTACTAAGTGGCTCCCAGAACTGAAGGGCAAGAGCTACGAGGAGAGGTTAGAAGCATTAAATATGCCAAAACTAGAAGACAGAAGAAAAAGAGGTGATATGATCACTACATACAAAATAGTTACAGGAATTGATAAAATCGACAGGGAAGACTTCCTGAGACCTGGAATTTCAAGAACAAGAGGTCATAGATTTAAACTAGCTAAACACAGATGCCGAAGAAATATAAGAAAATTCACCTTCGCAAATAGAGTGGTAGACGGTTGGAACAAGTTAAGTGAGAAGGTGGTGGAGGCCAAGACCGTCAGTAGTTTCAAAGCGTTATATGACAAAGAGTGCTGGGAAGACGGGACACCACGAGCGTAGCTCTCATCCTGTAACTACACTTAGGTAATTACACTTAGGTAATTACTCCTGGGTAACCATTTACTGCTAGATGAACAGAGCATTAGGTGAAAGAAAATGTGCCTACTGTTCCTGTCCTGCCTAAAGAGTCGAGTATATTTAGACATACAGTACAAATAATATATAAAAATAAAGGATTTTGTGAGCATAAAAATACAAAGGGTATTATATAGAGTATAAAAGAGTATAAAAATATAAGAATATAAAAATAAAAACGAGTAGTGAATATAATGATTGCCTTTTTCTAGGTAAGCCCCGGAGCTCCCTGAAGCTTTATTGCCCAAGTGGCTTCCCATACTCAGTCACATCAGGCTTAGGAGTTCTGTTAGCTTACTGGAGACCAGAGCCAAATCCTAGCCCCCTTCCCTCCACAGAGGCACAAAGATCAGGGTATTATAATCCCTTTCACTGGGAAAGCAACCAGAAAGTAGATGAGTCAATTTAGAGAATTGCATGGTTCATGAAAATTAAACACTGAAACAGCAGATACTGCTAAAGAATCAGTCAAAACAAAATGGTTCAGCCCAACTTGGATGTAAAACACCCCCTCTTTCTGGGCTCATTCAGAAAGAGATGCTTCATTACATTCAATGCTACTTTTCTAGGGGGGAGCCCCTTGGTAGCTCCCTGATGCTACCAGCAGAGAAAAAGGAAAACATGGGACTTTCCAAGGAGGAAAGATTGCAACTACAAAGTCTTAGAAGTGACACTAGGTCAGGAAATCCATCCAAGGCATTTAACTCAAGCATGACTAGGGCCAGCAATAGTAACCCAATTTCAAATCACCAACATCCTATTAGATCTCCAAAACCCTCAAACCTGAAATTCAGCCCATAACATAAAAAGCAATGACGGCAACCAAAGCCATGAAGCTACAAACAACATGGGCCCAAGGGAAGACCACAGGTTGGCTAGCGTTAATGACTCTGCAGATGAAATGGGACAAACACGCCATGGAACAGAGGACCAAGGAAACAGAATCAACAAACAGTGCCTCAATTGAAGCAAAATTGGAGGCTTGCTGTCAGCATCTTGCTTCTGCAAGTGGACACACTCAAAGGTACAACCCTCCAGCCAGACAAACTAAGCTGCAAACACTAAGGGATCCCTCTGGAAGCCACCCATCTCTATCTCTGGCAGAAATGAAAGAAAAGGCTGCAGGCAAGGAATTGCCCACAAGAGCCAAACGAACAGAACCCATGCCTCCACGAAAACGTAAAGCTCCCCCTACTTAAAAACTGATGGTGAAAGCTAACAAAAATAAAAGCTAAAGAAAAGTATCCCTGACTGATGGGGGCAACCAGGAACTGAAGGAAAAAATGCCCACACTTGATCAAAAGACCAAGATGGCTCTGGGAAAGCTCAAACCGGCTAGAGGAGAAAGACAACTTGTAAAACAGTGCCATGGAAGTAACAAGGACAAATGTTGTAAATAGAGATAAAGACAAAAGCAGTCCCAGAACACCTCATACTATTGCCATGATGAAGACATGGGTGGTATACAAATAAATCAGCCATCAGCACACCACACAATTGGTGGTAAACCATTGAAAGAACTACAGTACTGACTTCTTTTGTATAGGTTTCATAGTCTCACACATTTGTATAAGATCTCTACTTATGTATAGGGTCTCTTCTACATTTGTATAGGGTGAACAGAGGTGTCAGAAGTCACACACTACCAAGGGTGAGGTTCACCCACCCTGATGGCATGGCCTCTCGGGGACAAACTCCTGAACACATCAGAGAAATAACTTGTCAGTGCAAGGGTACCACTAAATGAGCACAAACACATCAAAGCAGAAACCACAGATAAAACACAGTCAAACCACATTATTGAAAGAAATATATGGTGAACAGGTGGCTTCATTGATGGTGTTCACACCATCAATGAAGCCTTGATGGTATGAACACCATCCATCCATCCCCCCCTATCCATTCAT